GGACTGAAGGAGCCTGTGACCCTGAGGTGAGGCCCGCCTGGCAGGGAAGGGTAGCTGTGAGGCTTGGGGGCTTTCCAGGGTGACAAAATAACTGACGCACGGAGGGGGACCAAATCCTCAAAGAGCAGTAGCAGTGGGAAGCATCCTAATTGGAGGCTTAAGTCAGACTGGCCTGGGTTTGAGTTCTTACTAGTTGTGCGATCCCTTGGCGTCTCTCTGAGTTCTCATGTTTAAAAGTATCCTGCAAAATGGCTGTGAAGGTCAGAGAGGATGCGTCTAAAAACAGCTGACATGAAGCCTGTGCCCAATCTCCGTGTTTCTCCATGTGCCCTCCTCAGGACGCGCTATTTTCTTAAGGGGGGGGGCTCTTTAGCCTCTATGCCTGCAAAACCGAGTGCAGTGCCCAGCACATTGTAGACACTGACATCTGTGTTAACCAGGGAGCAACCACAACACTAACTTACTTTTGCAGAGCATTTCCTGCAAGGCAGGTATTGCTGTAAATTATAATCCATCTCATCCTCAACCACCTTAGAGAGGAGGTTCTATTGTTAACCTAATTTTACAGAAGAAACGACAGAATGTAATTGTTCAGAATATAAAGTTTTGGTACACCTCACTTGGATATAAAAATCTGGGGAAATTGACTTTACTGAAAAGGTAAACAAACAAACAAACAAGCAACAATAACAAAAATACTTTAAAAATCCTGAAAGAAACAAAAGCAAAGGGAGAATGGAAATAAATGTAAGAGGGGAAAGAAAAAGTCGGAAGGAGGAGGGAAGAGGGAAAGAGAGTAAGGGTTGAGTAGAGCCCACTTAATTCAGAATCAGATCATGGGCTATCCCTGCCATCAGGGATAATAATTAGCCAAGTGACCGCTCTTTCTAACTCTTCCACTGTGATTTCTCTATCCTTAAACTTTGAGAATGACAGGGTGGAAGTTCTCAGCTGGGAACAAAATGGAGGTACAGTCAGCCTGTGGAAGCCAGAGCGTGTGTAAAGGGGGAGCCTAGCCTGAGAAAGAGAAGGGGGGCATGTGCCCCTAAGAGAGCGCAGGAGGAAGAGGGAAGAGAGCAACAGAGCTGGGAAGCCCCATTGAGCCCCGTGGGGTGCCCACAGGTGTCACAGCACCTACGTGAGAGAGCAAAGACTCTATTTGAAGACCATGGAGCAGTTCGCTTTTAAAATTTTTGTATAATTTAATAAGCACCTTTTGGGGAACAGTTTCTTTAGCTGAAGCTTATCATCCACCCAGGGGAGCATGGGGAATTTCAGGCTACGGAGTCAGACATGTATACAAGTAGGCACTCGGTTGTTAGGAAAGAAAATAGCCGTTGTGGCTTGCAGTATGAGGCCCAAGACTAGTGTCAGTGTGCTATCAGGCGGTCCAAAGTTCCCTCTTTCTCTCTGAAGTAAGGATACGAAGATGGGGCTGTTTCGAGGCTTACGGGAGATCATTTTAGGAGCTTTGCCTCTGCTAAGTTTTCATGATTGTGCTGACACAATGGATGCTTCAAGAATGCTAAAATGGTACAGTCACTAAGGTGCTGGTTGTCCCAGTGAAAAAGACAATTTGAAGAAAGAGTTAAGTGATTCAAAGATTATCTACAGACTCTCAGTGTGGTTAAGTGTGGTTGAAATGGTCCTTGCCCAACAGACTGCTCGTGGGGTCACATCCTTTGCTTTCCGCAAACATTGCGACTTGGGCCCATTGTTGGCAGCCACCGTGTTCATCCACCTCAATGGGCTCCTTCCTTACTGACCCTCTACCTCACCAAGGAGGATGCCCTTCTCCAGAGTCATCCTTCCTAATGACACGTGCAAAGTTTTAGGAACCATCTTAACTTCTAGGGAGCATTCTGGCTGTACTTTTTCCAATAGGGTTTACTCCTTCCACTGGCAATTCATAGTATATGTAATATTCTTCCCCCAACCTTACAATTTAAAGACATCAATTCTTCTCCAGTTTTCCTTATTGACTGTCCAGCCTTCAAGTGCATATGAAGCCATTGAAAATATCATGGCTTGGGTCAGGCATGCCTTGGTTCTTAAAGCAACATTTTAACACCTTAAGTCTTTCGCAGCAGATTTGCACCATGCAGGATGTTGTTTTATTTCCTGACCTGCTTCCATGAGTGCTGATTACGGATCCAAGTAAAATGAGATCCCTGATAATGGCAGTCTATCGTGTTATATAGTGGTCGAGTGGTGAGGATTTGTTTTCTCATGTTGCAATGTGATTCATACTTAAGGCTGTAGTCTTTGATCTTCATCAGTAAGTGCTTCTTCTCTTTCAGCAAACAGCCGCATATTGCAGGCTGTTCCTGAGTCTTCCTCCTCATTTGGATTTGTTCTTCTTTAGATCGTCCAGCTTCTCAGATTCTGTCTAGGGCCTGGTTAACATGGTCTTGCACCTTTCGTCAGCCTTGGTGCAGGGAGCAGCCAGTTGCTAGCAATGATATTAGTGCTGCATGTTTTATAGGGCTGACAAAAGATCCAAAGACCAAGACAGCAACTAGGATGTTTTTGTGGAGGTCCTAGGCAGCTCTTTTGGACAGATGAATGTATTTATGTATACAAGGGTAAGTCGAGGAGCATTGCTAGTATGTTTCTAGTTCATACACGGAGGGGGTTATTCGAAACATAGCTCTTTCATATGTTTAAACATATCTCTGCCATTAGTGGATGGCTGCAGACAAGTTCTTTCAGTAATACGCTTGTCTTAGTCTCATCAGGGTTCCTAACAAATACACACACACACACACACACAATTACAACAGTGACTTCTGAGGGGGCGCTGCTGGGCCAGTTACATTCAAAGCAGAGCATTTAGTTCAGAAGGTTATGGTGACTGGTTGGTTGAGGGGTGGGGGCTGCTCCAAAACAATCCCAATGATACATTTTCAAGGGTGCAGGACGCTCACAAGGACTTATTAGGAAAATGAAAACTGCATTGGTGAGGAAAAGGCCAGGAAATTTATACCAAGAATTTTTCCCCATCATGACGATGCACCTGCTCGTTCTTCAAAGGCAGCAAGGGTTGTCCCCTACGAATGGGAGCGTTTACCCCATTTACTCATCAGCCCTGACGTTTCACCTCCAGACTTCTTTTTGTTTCCCAACCTCAAAGAACACTTAAAAGGAACAGGATTCGGGCCCTTCACTCAACAATGCCAAAATTGCCATTTCAACATGGTGTAAATCAAAGAGTGCAGAATTCTTGGAGGAAGGGCTAGAGAGACAGAAACACTATCTTCAGAAGTGTATAGACCTAGATGGAAGATGTTGAGAAACAATCCCTTCACGTTTTGATAATTTTATTTAATAAAGGTTTATTATTTTAGAGCAATACTTTGCTTGCCCTTATATATATATGCATGGGTATGTAATCTGAATGGCTGGCCTTGTATTATATTTTGTTGCATATTTCTTCCATTTATTTTCTGTTGTTCGTTGCTTCTTAATTAACTTTATTTTGTAAAGCAGTGCTAGGTCTGCAGAATAATTGAGCAGAAAGTATAGCATCCCTATATGCTTCCTTTCTTCCCCCGTTTTCTCTATTGTTAACATTTTGTACTGGTGTGGTATGTTTGTTATAATTGATGAATTAATATTGATGCATTACTATTAATTGAAGTTCATAGTTTACATTAGGGTTCGCCCTTTGTATTATACATTTTTATGAGTTATGATAAATGCATAATGCAATGTATCCACCATTATAGTATTATACAGAATAATTTCATTGTCCTCTGCCTAGTGATTATGTGTTGTGATTATGCATTGGTGGCCTAGTGATTATGCATTGGACTGTTAACCACAAGGTCAGCAGTTTGAAACTACTAGCCACTCCACTAGAGAAAGATGAGGCTATCTCCTCTCACAAAGCGGTTACAGTCTCAGAAACCCACAGAGGCAGTGCTACCCTGTCCTATAGGGTTGCTACATGTTAGAATTGACTGGATGGCATTGAGTTTTTTTGTTTTGTTTTTGAGTTTTGTGTTCCACCTAACCATCCTTATGATCTCTTCCCTCCCCAAACTGGCAACCAATGATCTTTAACTGTACATTTTTGCCTTTTCTACAGTTTTATAATTAGAATCATATATCATATAACTTTCCAGACTGGGTTCTTTCACTTTACAATATACCTGTAATGTTTCTCCATATATTTTTGCAGCTTGATAGTTTTTGCTTTTTTTTTTCACTCAGACTGCACTCTCTCCCTCTCGCTCTGCAGGAGGGCGGAGGAGAACGATCATAAATGGCAAGCGGCAGCTGCAGCGAGGCAGCACCGGGAGCCGGCTTCACGCTCAGGAGAGAATGCTGCGCCTCCTCCTCGTGGTTTTCGGTGCTCTACACGATCAGAGAAACTTCTCTAGTCACGAACTATAGAAATGATCCCTGAAAGTATAGTCTTTGATAGTTATTTTTGTTGCTAGGTAATAGTCCCCTATATGGATGTACCAGTTTATTCATCATTTTTTCCTGCTTCTGAATTTATGCACAATTACGTATATTGCACAAGGAATATGACCTGCTGATGACTCTCTACGGTTTCAACAGGGCAGCTCGGGCAGCTTTTCGACTTTCTCGTGAGAAGCCCGAAGGTAGTAGAAAAGTGGGGCATGGACGTGATTTTCCCTTTCCAGTAAGGAAGCGGGCAGCAAGCAGCAACCAGCAGATGGCACTGCAGCAACAGAGGCAGAGTCCCTTTAGGTCCTAGACAGCCTCAGCGGACTTGAAACCTCCGACACCATCAGAGAACTCCGGACGAAATCACGCTTTTCGTTTGGATCCGAATAGGATCTGATTTGTATTGCTTGTTTTAGTTCCAAAGTTCCTATTTCTTTTCGAAAAAGTCATATGGACCTTGAGTATCCAGCTATCCAGGAGTAAAGAACCGCGGCAAGGGTCGCCCTTTGCTCTCTAGTGTCGGATTAGTGTAGTGGGTGTAGATGGAACGAAAACCCACACACGCACCACCACCCCCATTACCGCCGCCACCCACATACACACCAGCTGCCGCAGGGCAAGTTACATTGCAAAACTGCCTTCCCAAACCGACAGGATCAAGTCTGGTTAAGCCCCAATACAAACTCCGCAAGAGCACCCGAAATACACCAGGTAACCGTGGTCACGTAGGCTGCCACCTGAACCGCGCTCCACGGAAGCACGCAAGGACCGAGTACGCAGGCCCGCGTGCTCCCTCCCTCGGTAATCGGCTAGTCGCTCCTGATATGGTTCGGCGCTCGTCTCTCCGCCTTTGCGCTTGCGTCCTACGGCTCCTGCCCGACGCCGCGGCCGGATCGGGAAGTGTCAAGCGGGAGCCGGCTCCCCGAGCGCCTTCGCTTCGCCGCCACCACTGCTGACCCCAGAGCCCCTAATAGGCGTGGGCCCAGCCACCATGACGAACGGTGAGAGCCGGTGTGAAGTGCAGGGAGTGGGAGTGAGGGTGAAACGTGGCGGGCGGGGCTGGGACTGACGTGTCCGTTCTCCCCGCCCCCTCTCGGCCCGGCCCCCCTTGGCCTCTGAGCGCCCCTAACTCCTGCCCTCTTGCTTCGCAAGTTCGCCCGAGCCGTGCACTCTAGCACTCCCAGTGTGGGCACCCCAATCCCTTTCCAGCCTCTCCCCTCCCTTAGAAGTTCGTTTGGGCCCTTGGGAGCCTCTTGGGGAGACCAGCGCCGGTGGAAAGGCGCTACCCTCCGCGAAGTGAGCCCTTCTCCAAGTCCCTAAGCCGTCGCCTCGTACTGTTGACCGTCTGTTGTTGGGAGCATCTAGACGTCACAGGATCTCAAGCCCAGAAATGTTAGGGGATGAGGAAGAAGTTTCTGAAAGTGTTGTCCTTTGGGGGAAAAACAAAACAACACACCAGTGGAGTCATTTCTTGTTTGTATAATACGGGCCAGGTGATTCCTTACAGGGACGCTGGCGGTTGTTGCAAGGATTGGATTTAGACACTGGCTCCCCAATCATTTGGCAGTCGTACCCTGCTCATCTAACCAGATTTTCCAAGCTGCTTCAAACGTTTTATAGACATGGCTTCCAAACTCCAGAAAAGGCAGGGCCTTGATGGTCTTAGTCAACTTTTCAGAGAAGAACTTTAAGAGGGCACACGAAAGCATTTTCCCCGCCACCATTCTTCCGCCACAGGCCAGGCACTGAAGGTTCAAATTTCATCTCCTTATCAATTTTGGCATTGCCAGTTAAAACTGAAGGGAGGAAAGAGTACACAAGTGTTACGGAGTCGCGCCCAACACAAGACCACTGACCCACAAGCAGCTGCAAAGTAACAAGGCAAAAGTTTATTAGAGAAGAGCAAAGGTTTACTAGAGAAAAGGACACAAAAAGCAAATCCGGATTTGGGCTACAGCATGGCCACGCAGGGTCCAAACTGAAGCGCTCGGCCAGAGTTCCTTGGCCCTATTTATACACTTAAAACCAGTAAGGAGAAGGGGGTGTGCAAGGAATGGGGAAGGGTGTCTGCACAAGATAACAGGATGGGGGCAGTTTAGCCTGCCCAGCTTATCTTGGTCCAGGTGCGCTTGTAAAACTTTTTGGCTGACATTTACTAGCGGCAGTTTGTAAGGTCACAGTGGCATACTTTTACGATTTGTTTTTCATCTGCTAGAGATAACATAGTTTTACTTATTTTTCTAAAAACAACATTCTCTTCTTAGGGGGCGGGGGATGACCTTTAGACTCTTCAAAATGGGGTAGCTTAAGGCAAGCTCTTTTATTCTATTGAGCCTTAACAACAAGGAAGGACCATTGATCATAAACAGCTCAGTGTTTGTGCTAACTTGTGGGCCTTTGTCTGCTGTGACACTTAGCTGTGGGCTAGTTTATGGGGGGTGGGGGTGGAGGGCTATAGAATGATCCATAAGTCGCAGATACTGGTTCTACAAATCATCCTGTTGGAGCTTCCTGGGTAGTTAAGAGGTTTGAGGATAAGAAATAATCTGAACCAGGAAATCAGAGATTAGTCTGACACATTTACAAAATAACCTCTCTTGTGGTTCCCCCCCCTTTTTAAGAGTAAATATTGTGCTTAGGTGTGTGCAAGGAATAGCTCAGTTTACATATGTAAGAAACTGAACTTAGGGTGTAAAATCTCTCCACTACGTCGAAGAGTCAGTTACATTTTTTTTTTAAGCAAGAATCTGTTATCCTGGCAGAAAATTTGGTTTGTAAGTAGAGTGCTGTGCATGAAATGTATTCGTATGGTAGTCATATGGATCCCAACTGTTGTAATTCCTGTTCAACTTTATTTTTTGTATTAACATATTCTTCACCAACAGATGAAGATCTGAAACTTGGGTACATATCAAACTTTACTTAAAAAAAAAAAACGAAACACCCACTTGAGTGATTTAAATAAGAACCTGTGTGTTCTCCCTGCTCAGCCTGGAAAGATGCTTACAGTTCTTCCAACCAGCTGCCAATACTGTCCACTTGTAGCAAGCAGATTCCCCAGGAACTCCTAGAACCTGGAGGTCTTGAAAGAGGAGGGGAGGGAGCAGTGAAATCGGTGTGAGGGAGATGTCTGCAAGCACTTTTGGAGGATAATAAAGTAACCAGGACCTTGGCTTCCTCTTGTCAAGGGTTGGCACTGCTAGTTGAGGTTATCTTGTTAGGATGTTCCACTCTGTTCCTGGAGTTTTCAGGTGGGATCGCCTGTCTGCCCCAGGCTGTATCAGAACCAAAGATTTTTCTCTTCTCTCTGTAACAGTATACTCTTTGGATGGGATTGTGGTTTTTGGGCTGCTGTTTGTTTGTACCTGTGCCTACTTCAAGAAAGTACCTCGTCTTAAGTCCTGGCTGCTGTCAGAGAAGAAGGGTGTTTGGGGTGTGTTTTACAAAGGTAAGCTCCTATCTCTCCAGGGAGAGACCATCTCCAACTCTAGACAGTGAGAAGTGGCCAAGGGGGTTGGGGCAGGGGCGTGGGGCACAAAAATGAGCTCAGGTTAGATTGGGGTCAGGCTTTAAAGAGATCCCTGATATTGAACCTGTGAGTCTGTTGAACAAAAGTTTTTTGAAGTTGAGGAAAAAGGTAAATGTTAGAATTTTAAAATATGATTGTTTATTTCATTATCTGGGTTTTGGATTTCATTATTCTCCACAGAGTAAAAGTATGAGGGTGGGGGAACCTCAAAAAGCTTGTGGAAAATAACATTTTTTTCATTTAATTTTCCCATGAACATTGTGAAGCCTCATATATAAATTAAGCCATTTTACTCTTTGCTAGAATGTGTTAGGGTGGATATTTTCCTGATGAAAAGATTTTCTGATTTCTTGTGAAGAATAAGTTGGACTCTTCTTAAAGTTTCTACTTAATTCAGGCACTTTTATCCTTTTCATTTTGGGTAGATTCATCTGGAATCCTACCTACCGACCTATATATATATATTTTTTCTACCTATATCTTTTTCAAACATGGACATAAGTTAAACGGACAGCATATTTCACCTAGCACCTCGAGCTTCAGAGTAGCCTTTAGCTACATTCCCAGGTCCTTGCGACACTTCATCTGCGGTAGCTCTCTTTTTGGTGACTTGGCATTGTAAAAGATGGGGACTTCGATGAAGTGACGAGTATCATGTCTTTTCTCTTTTCACTGTGCTCCCCAGCTGCTGTGATTGGAACCCGGCTGCATGCTGCAGTGGCGATTGCCTGTGTTGTCATGGCCTTTTACGTCCTGTTTATAAAATGAATTCCAAAGCACCCAGCTCATCAACTGCCAACGGAGGGGACCAGGGTGAAGAGCCTCTCGGGAGCCTGGGCCCAGCATAGCAGATGTCAACTGAAATCATCAGTCCCCAGATTGGCGCCACAGCACCCTCCCTTACCACGTGGGGGAGAGCGCCTCATGGTCGCAAACATTGTGTATGCTTCAGGGGACTCCAGAGAGCCACTTCTTTTGATTGATGTGTAAATCAGTTTTTGGCAGAGAGTATATGATTTCCAGATACGTTGCAAGATAAGATTCCATACTTCCTGCTTACAGACCTTACAAACCTGTCACCTGTTCTGTTCTTCAGCCCCTCTTCAGGACCTTTTCCAAACCGAGACTCGGTGGGGAAGGCTATGTTCACACCGCCTAGAAGAGATTATTTTCAAGACTTATTTTTCCCCTCTGTTGGATTTGCATTTGGCAAACTGGGAACATGGGGGAGGCCTGGGTGCGATGCCAAGAAATCGTTTGGCTTTGGCAATGTGTCTTTCATATACCCATCTGGGAACTTAAGGGAGCGACATGGCCCTCACTGCAAAAACAGAACAGATCAGTAGCCGTGCTATGTGCTGGTAGCTTGGGAGGTTTGCCGAGAGAACCTGGGCCTCCCTAAGAGTTGAGAAATTACAATCTGTGTGTGGTGAGACCAGAAAATAGTAACAACCTGAAAAAAATGTTCTGTGCACCAGTATCCTCACCTGGAGACTTCACCCAATCGAACGGTGTATGGAGAGTGAATCAACTGTTGCTACTTTCCTAAGGCCTTTTTATATTTTCTAAATTACTTAGTGCTAAATACTGTTACTCCAGCAGTTTTTAATGCCTCCGCTAGGGGAAAGAGAAGCTATTGAAGAAGTAATTGTTTAATATATTTGCAGTTAAGGTGGAAGAAATAAATCTAGTATTTTAATTCATATACTAGTAAAGTCATCTTGTATAAGAGTTTACGATGATATTCAATGGCTGTTTTGTCATGTTATCTAAGATGCACATTTCTTCTTTGGTTACATGTGGATTGCTAACTGGCAACCTTTCGTTGATTGTGTTTTTTTCTGGTCAACTCTTCATTTTCTTCTTCCAGGACTCTTTAGCTGTTCTGAGGAAATTCTGTTCACTGTAAGAACTTGAGAAATTTGAATGAATAAGGACTGCTGATATCCATAAGCATATTTGGACAGGTCCTAGAATCCATGAATAAAACGAAGGTGTTGTCTTATTTTCTGAAGTAAAGAACAGGTTTGCCATAGAAATTGGTAGCCTTTTTTTGGGAGGTGGTAATTTCAGAGGCAGATCATTTTAGCTGGGAAGATCTCTTCATTCCCTCCTCAGTGGTAGAAGGGTCAGCTACTGTACCTATCATCCGGGAACTTCTTTGTTAAGAGAAAGAGAGAGTAGATTTTAAAATCATGTTGTCAAAAGAAGCATAGACATAGGTCCACCAGTTGTACTGCCCAGAAAGGTAAGAGCAAGAGGAACATCCCTGGATTATCTGTGGACAAGTTAGCTGTAGTTGACCCCTGTGTGGCACTGAATTCTGTCTTCTGTCCTCCCAAAAGAAGTAAAGCTGCTAGGAATGTTAAGTTCTAAAATAGGCAATGTAGGATTTGCAGTAGTCGAAAGCCATCAAGTAAACACTACATGTGTACTCATCTCGGAGTTTTGGCCGTTTTCAGGAATGGGCCACGGTAAATTTCAGTTTGTTTCCCATGGGCATTTCTGAGGACCTTGCGTTGAGTGCTGAGATCTAGTGGAACTGGGAAGAAGAGTTACACCTTGGGGGTGTGAGCTGGGAACCTGCTGACAGAAGGGAACGTCGCTCTGGAAACAGGTTCAGCATATTTTGCACTTATTTTGTAGCTTTAATGACTGGTGTTCTCTTAAAGGCTATGTCTCTGAGGTTGGCCCTTGGAACGGCATCATATTTTAGACTAGCTCCGTTTCACAGTTCTAGTTCGGAGAAACTTCCACAGCCTTCTGGATGGGGCATCTTGACCTAAACACTTGAGTTGTTATATTTTGAAATGTTTTCATATCAGAAGTACCAAAAAGTGCACAGGGTGAAGATAACTTGCAGCAAGAAGCCGCCAGTTGATTCTTGTCAGCAGATAAGCAGAGGCGTGTTGAATGTGTTCTTTGGTGGCTGTGTCTGACGCAGTTCTGACGATCAATTACAGGATGTTGTTCTGCTGGGGAGTCTTTGCGAGGTGAAGGAATGGGGAGAGCAATATTGCCTGAAGAGCCAGCAGGCCTCACCACAAACCCTGTGTGCCAGGGTAGATTGAAGTCAGCTCCTTTTTTATAGTTGAAATACAGTTTTTTATCCACCATTGTCTGCACAGATCCTTGAAAATAAAATTTCTTTCCCTACAGTCTTTGTCCATTTTATTTGTCACATGCTGATTTTAGTGACCCTGGTGAATAGCTCCATGGTTCTGCATACACCCTGTCATTTCAGTCCCCTGTGTGGTCATGAAAAATATTATATGGTTCATCATCTGTGAGGCTTGGCTTTGGCCTTCTTGTATACACACACGTTCCAGGGGTCTTCCAAAAATTTTGAGGGAAATGGAATTCAAAGATAAAAATACAAACTTTTCCTCAGCATAAGCTCTGTAAAGTCAAAACACTCTTGTAAACAGGAGCGACCATTTAGTTCCTCCGTAAAGAACCGAGGAGCCTGACAGTTTAGCCCTGTCAGTGCCGTCTTTTACATCATTAATTGAAGGAAAACGGGTGCCCTTTAAAGACTGTTCAAGATTGGGACACAAGGAGCTAAGTTTCGGGTTACAAGGCGGAGGCTAATGATTCCCATTGACACTACAAATTGCCCTTGTTTGATGAGAGACTGAGCAGGAGTAGGCAGAGAAAGACGGCGAATCTTTCCTGGGCACTTATCTGCTAAAGCTGTGGCTGGCTATCTCAAACACTGTCAAACACAGGGAAGCCTTTCTTTGACGCTCCAGAATGCCAACTAGTTAAGTTCCTTGAGCAAAGAAAACCATGACCTTTGCTCATAACTCTTTTGCTGTTGCCAGACTGCTTTGTGCTTTGTCTTCAGGATCGTGTTGGAAAGGCCATGCTTCATCTGTTAAAATTCATAAATGCTTCGGATCTTGATCGTTTGTTTAAAATGGTCCGTTGAAAGCTCTACACTTAGTGGCAACTGATCTAGAGCCAACTGTTTTGTAGCACCTATCAGGCAGAAGACTTGTGGAACTTTAATTTTTCAGTCAGAATTGTAGAAACTGAGCCAAGTGAGGTGTCTGTGGTGGTGGGTGTTGTTTCTGCTGTGAATCCTTGATTCTCTTTGGTGAGGGTAGAAACAATTGTTCCCTCAAAATTAATGTAGCTGGTCTGCTAATGAGGGCTTCACCATCAGCATCGCCTAGCCCCTTCTTTAAGTGAATTATCTATTTGTAAGCTGCTGGTTTCTTTGGCGCATTGGCCCCATGGACTTTTCAGAAGCCATCAGTGATTTCACCATTTTTACACCCAAGCTTCACCATATACTTGATGTTTGTTTATACTTCAATTGTAGCAGAACCTATGTTGCTCTAAGAGGGCCTCTTCAAATTTATCTTTCGTAACGCTTCAAACTAGGTCCTGTTCACGCGTGTTGTAACAAGTTGTAGGTGCCATCGAGTGGGCCCATGCTTCTAGTGATCCTCTACACAGCAGCAGGAACAACGCTCGGTTTGTGCCGTCCTCACGGACTCCCGGTCATCCAGTCAATTCTGACAAGTCACCTTCCCGGACAGCATGCAACTGCCCCTGTGGGCTTCCAAAACTGTAACACTACAGCTTCAAAAACCTCAGCTTTCTCCTTTGAGTGGCTGGTGATTTCGAACTGCTGATCTTGTGGTTAGCAGCTCAATGTGTACCCACTCCCTAACGGCTCTTTTGTGTCCTTCTCACACTTGTTGCTATGTTTGAGCCCACTGTTGCAGTCACTGCCAGTACATCTCTGAGGGCCTCCCTCTTTTCCACCAACCTGCATGATGTCCTTTTCCAGGAGTCTCCGACAACATGCCCAAAGTGTGGGAGATGAATTCATCCCTACATTCAAGAAGCATTCTGGCTGTACTTCTTCCAAGACAGATTTGCGTGTTCTTCTGGCAGCTCAGAGTACTTTCAATATTCACCAGCACCAACGTTAGAGGCATTAATTCTTCTGCAGGCTTCCTTTTTTTTAAAAATCATTTTATTGGGGACTCATATGACTCATCACAATCCATACACACATCAATTGTGTAAAGCTCATTTGTACATTCATTGCCCT